TTGCAGCCTCCTCACCCTCCCCCTTCACCTGGGATGACCCTTCATTATTCATATTTATCTCCCAAGGGGAAATACTTATAAGCAAACAAAAATAGTAAAATAGCGGCGAAAGAATCAGAATTTTAAGCCCGTCTGTTCTAGTTAGACCAGGACGGATTAGACCTCCCAGGTGGTCACTGACAGGTGGTTATCTCATCAACTCAGCTCTCTATTAACATAAGAAAAAAAGGATCATGGGGGAACAACGGGCACCACTCAGGCATTGTTTTCAATAAAGAGGGAGCAAGTAGCTAAAGTAGTGCAGTGTGGCTTTAGATATAGCAATATTGGTTGCAAAATCCAACAAAATACAAGTGATACTTCTATAAAACAGGTAGAATGACAATTTACCGACAAGGTTGGTACATCTCTTTACTTTGCCGACATTCTCTTTATTTTGTCGACAACAGCAGCAACATTGCTTACGGATTTATGACAGATGTTATATACACGAATAGGCCTGATTTGGCTACAGCCCACTAGACCCGCGGCCCTTTAGACTGACAGCTCATGAGACCGATATTGTTCGTTTCGCGGTCTTTCTAGCCAATTTTTAGAGGGTTCACTCTACCTAAAACCAAAGAGAACGGCTGCCCACGAGACCGACTATTTATGTGCTGCCTCAAGTACTTCTTTGTTTTGTAGTTCTCTTAAGCGGTTAGCCTCGTGGACCTTTTGGAAATTTTGCTTTACAATATTTCCTTCTTTTGTCTGTCACGTGGTCTGTCGGTCTGCTAGGATGACCCCTTATAGGCTCTTTTCGGAAGGCGTATCACAATCTCACCTCTCAAACCTTACGACCTGTCTGATTGGTGGAAAGCTTACTAACTCTCTCTCGATCTTACTTAATATTAACGGGATGGCTATGCTAGATGGCATCATGACTTCCTATTGTCACACGCAAATGTGATCTTTGCATGCGTTAATGAAGTTAATGAGTAATGTTGATTGTAACATCCTTTTGTTTTGAGCCTAACACAATCATGATAACATAATTAGGACATTCTCATTTTGACTCATCAATTTGCAACGATCTTCAAGCACATACCCGGTCGTCTCAGGATCTTGAAAGGGTTTATTTAATTTAAGAAGAATCTATATTTATGAATGGGTAATTAAGTGTGATTAGTTAGGTGTCAGACAATGCCTGCATGAAGGAGCGGGATTGGGTTGATGGGGGCTGGCAGGGCTAGCAGGGATAGGGCAGCCACGTATGAACTTCAGAAGACACGACGTTGTCTCATGAGTTACCTAAAGTTAAACAACATACATTAGCGTGTATCATCAAAACAATAGGATTTAAAGGATTTGAAGGAGTATTGTCTCTCGAAACATATTGTTAAAACAGCAGGAAGGACCTCACGTCACTAAAACAATAGGGTTTAAGGGATTTTAAGACGTTTGCTAGCTCCTTTGTTGTCTGTAGACAGTTTTGAATTATATTATTCCCCTACAAGACTGCCATTCAGTGTTTCTTGTTTAGAAAGAGAGATAGATAGAGAGAGAGAGAGAGAGATATTGCAAGAGGGTGGAAATGGGGGCATAATTTATTCATAAAGGAGAATGTGAAGGAAAAAAAGGACAGAGACACTATCGGAGAGAGAGAGAGAGAGAGAGAGAGAGAGAGAGGGGGGGGGGAGGTAGACAGAATAGAAACTTTTGAATGATTTCTTTTCATTCCTGTTTGAGTGGGTGTGCTTTCCTGCAGAGTACGTGTGTGTGTGTGCGTGTGTGTGTGTGTGTGGGTGCATATGAACTTTTAACATTTAGTTATTGTTTTAATTATTTATTCATTTTTTTTTAATACAGTAGATTATTTCTATTATTCTGTCGCTCCAACAGTGTGTGGTATGTGTATGGAAGTGTCGTCGGGTGGTGTGTATGTGTCGTGTGTCGCATGGTGGTGGTCGTGGTGGGGGGGGGGGGGGGGTAGTAGTGTGTTTGGTTGGATGGGGTTATTTGTTTTACGTTACAATTGATTTCATCTTTTTCCTTCTTCAATCTTACAATCTATGTATTGCAAATGTATTGAATCATGTCAAGATGAAAAACAACTGTATTTCTAAGAATGATTTGTATTGTTTTGGAATCAATAACAAAAACAATTGAAACAAAATATAACCATAATTATTTTCACGTATGTTCTTTGATCACATAATGTGACGATGTGTGAACAATCCGTATTTACACAAAATTCACTCTATGCGTAGTAAAACACTGTTGCTATTAGGGGGGGGGGTGCTGATGACATAATATCCACACTCATATTACACCATCTGGTATTGTACTCTTTCAAGTGTCCTGTCTTATTTTAAAGAAATAAATCCATATTCCATTTATTTCACTTTTATGCCTTTCGATTCAAATACATTAGTAATAGCGAAGTCCAACTGCCTCATTTCTTAAGATACCAAAATATACAAGTTAATGAGAATAGCTAGGCTAAGAAGCTTACACTGAATCAGAAATCCGCCCACCTTTTCCTTTCTAGACATTTTCTTGTAAGCTCTAGTTTGCAGACATAGACTTGTAATTTCTTCTGCTGACGAATTCTAATCGATCTTACAAACAACAGTCACGTCAGTAATGAATTCAGCAGTGTCATTATCTTACAGTTGTTCCAACAAACCCCAAATCCCCAAATGACATAGATAGACTAAGGAGTTTTCTGTTCGCGATCATGGAATACAAGACATTGTCTGGACCCTGGGAAATCAATGACAAACACGTTGATGTTGAAAAACGGGGGTAACGATGCCACATCACCTGGAGTATCGAATACATTACGACAGACATAAGCACAATATCAATATCATTGTTACCATTATCATACAATATTATTATTATTACAATTACCATTGAAAATGAATAATAGAGTAGACATACATCTCCAAGTTCCAGAGAAAATGTTAAGGGTAGGAAAATGTTTAACAAAAAATCAGTTCGGTTATGTCTCAACAAAATTCCGATGTGTATAGGCCTAACTCAAAATGATCAGTTACGTCTGGCACCACTATTTGACGTCTTTATCGAACATGTCTAACAACTTCTTTGATTATAGTCTTGTAATTATGTTAATTAAGCCATTGGTGCTTGATGTGTTCCTTTCGGCCTTTAACTGCATTATACTGTTCAAATTTGCAGCTCTGAAGGTACAAACTGTGGTGTGGAACATAACATGAGGTCTATTAAACTATAAGTACTATTAGTAAGTTTGCTCCAGGGTTTATGCTTTTGAACTCAGTTGATGTACAGACTTATCGTGACCTTATTAATATGGGGATATATTTGCGATAAGTGCTTGAAGTGAAAGCAGGAAGGTCACAAATCTTCTAAAAAGTAAAAAAAAAGAATGATGAAGGAAGTCACACAATTTAGTTAAACGTGATGTAGGCTACTTCTCACGTAAGTACCAATGATTAAGTCACTGCATAGCACAGATGGGGACTAGGTATTAAGGGGGTAAATCTAATTGATTCAGACATGACCTATATTCATTGATTACTCAATTACCCTACAGCTATGTAGGTATGAAACACTTTAGATTAACATCTTGAAGCGGTTCTAACAGTCTAGTTTCCTCTGTTTCCCGAGACTTTTCATATATGTGGGATTCGACAGCAGGGTTTTGACAAGGGTGATACTCTAATTAGGGGTAAGGGTGGGAGTGGGCGTGGTGCCATATTGCTACTCGATATTCCACTTCGTAGAATGCAGTTGTTGCATTTATATATACATTTACATATGATATATGAAGAAGAACAAGAGGAGGAGCAAAAAGAAAAAAATGAAAAGAATGTGAGGAAGAGGATAAAAAGAGTAAACCACATGAAGGCAGACCTGTCAGAGAATCATAGGAAAAAGGAAAAGAAGATTAACAACAAAAGGAGAAGTAAACTTTGAAGAAAAGAAGAAGAAAAAAAAAAAAAGAATCAAGAACAGAAGTATATGAACTGAAATCCAAACATACAGATTTTGTGGAAACGTTTCAAATAGACATTGCCCCTAGGGCCCTACCCTGGCAATTGTTATTCAAAACTTTACAGCCCCCTTTCTCTCTCTGATCACAAACCACTCGATCTTAATGGTGCTGTAGAAAGGAAACAATGTCACAGTCTGCCATCAGAATGTTATTGACTCCTATACCATGCATGAAGGCGACAATGTTATAATGGCAATGTCCGCTTGTCTAACAGTTCAATGATCTAATATTGACAGACTCCGAACACATGCCATCCCATGTACTGAATTAGTTTGTTGATTTGAACATTTCACGATATAAATTTGAAATAAGGTTTTAAAGTATTTTTTAAGTGCTAACAAGAGAGCATTTTCCTACGGAGTTTATTTTGAGAAAAGGTGTTTGACAGAATAACTTATTTGATATAATTATGTACATCTTGAAACTAATAATGAAATTATTTTTGCAACTTTTACTTCACCTAATACTACTACTACTACTACTACTACTACTACTACTACTACTACTACTACTACTGATACTACTGCTACTACTACTACTACTACTACTACTACTACTTCTTCTTCTTCTTCTTCTACTACTACTACTACTACTACTACTACTATTTCTAATACTAGTACTGATACTACTACTACTACTACTACTACTACTACTACTACTACTACTACTACTACTACTACTGGTACTACCAATTATCCTCCTCCTCCTCCTACTACTACTATATTTGCTACCGTTGCTATACTGAAAATAATAATTATACTTCTAATGTTACATATGATGGATGATGGATGATAATGATATTGATAATTTGAGAGATACCGAATATCAAATTATTATCAGAAAACAATAATCGAATTTACCCATCAATGAAAAAAACTTTCACTCAACAATGATGTAAACGAAAACAATATCAATAAAATACATTTACACTTCCTCTCTTTCACTAAATTTCTATCTCTCTGCTTTCTACAAATTACAGCTCAGCCAATGAAGTACCAAGCCGATGTGGAGCTCCCAGGAGCAAACGGGAAACCCGTTCAAATCCCGTCAGAACTTCAGTCAGAAGCAGACGATCTTTTCATTATAAATTCATTCAATCTAATGGCTAGCGATATGATCGGTATTAATCGATCACTTCCAGATGTCAGACCTAAACAGTAAGTTCCACCTGCCATTTCGTGTTCTGTAATCTGTAATTGAATTAGATTGTGGGTTATTATTGATCTCCATAAATCCTCTGGTTTGAGATAATCCGGTTTCATGAATCAACATGAAATGTTTAATCAGTTCTGCAATTTGTGAGGTTCTATCCAAGCACTAACAAAATGAATTGGTTTGAATTTCAATGTATGAGCTATTATTTCGGTATTGTTTGCGAGACTCAATTCACCCCCTCCCAGGCTCCCCCACCCAAGAAAGAAAATACATTTTGTGTCTAACCATTCAAGGTCAACTAAATGACTTGGTCATGGGTATTTTTAAAGGGCTATGGCCAATTTAAGTGGAACTAAGAGATTTATTGCGATATTGAACACACTAGCAACAAAGATAAACTCAGCTTATGAAAAACATCAGTAAAAGTAACCTTGGATACAAAAACAAAAACACATGTCTCTTGCGCCCAGTAACCTCCGATTACAGGTCAGATCTCTTCAAAGAAGAAAGAAAAAATTGATGATTTGATCCTCGCAATCCCTGGATAATCATTGTTGAGTAAGGTTTCATAGTGATGCATGCATCTAGAGATGATAATTGATGGATGTAATAAGTGTTGTAAGAAGTGTATTGGCAGTCGTTCAAAATTTACGATCAGAATTAAATAATCATGATCATGAGAGACCTGAGTCAATGATACTTCTTCATGATGGAAAGGGAGTAGGAGAAGTTATTAGGAGAGGAAGGGTTGAAGGTTACAAATCAACACAATTGATTATACTTGTCATTGTTAATTTAATACCATTGGTTATCATCACCAGTATATTTAGTCTCTAACGGCGTGGTAGTGGTGTATTATTATCATATTTCAAGTCACTGACACATCATTGACCTTTAAACCAAGAAGTGATCTTTGCATGGATAATTAACTATTAAATGGCAGCAGATAATTTAAGGCCTCTCATCGAATAAAATTTGTCTAACGAGAAACACATTTAGAATGTTAACTTGAAACGCGGCCAAGAATTCAGATCTGCGGGGAATGAGGTGCACATACACCATAAGAGCTAGATGTTCTTTAACTTTACATTTTAACATTTTAATGATAAGGAAAGTTTAAGTGTTATGCCGGATGTTGAACATGCAAGATTAGAATGTCACTAATATTATGAATATGTTTCATTAAAGGGATCCAGTAACTTTGTCTCAGATTCTGAAACAAAATCCTGGATTTAGCTCATGCTGCAATGATAATTATAAACCTTTTGGTCAGCCAGGAACCTCATGACTTTTACAAGCCGATCGCCTGTCTGATTATCAAGATATTTATGATTGGGAATCGTAACCAAATTGTGCGATTTACTTACGGTTTTCATAACACTATATACAGTCTAGGGGGGGGGGGAACAAGTATGGTAAGATCGGTCACTCAAAGATTTTTAAAAACTTTTTCGAGACACTTCTTGATGATTTTAAAGCGCGTTGTTTTTTAAGGGCTTCAATATTACACCATATCACAGACACTGATAACACGTAGGACCGTGCATCTCAGAATTAACATTGTTAAACGATGCCTTTAATATCAATGGAATAACATTTCTACTCTTATTATTGTCCGTATGTTTTCTAAAATATGTACTGGATGAAAGTGACCCCAAACTATTACTGAACTAGTCTTACTAGGGGTGTATATTTAGATTTTTAAAGCACAGATTGCGTGCGGGCCAATATTCAGGCGAGGTCAAGATTCATGGCTGTAGATTCATAATTTTCATATAACACTAATTGAGAAGAACGTTTATGTATCAACACTATGTGACTCATACAAAGCTAAGACATCATACTAGCTACAATTACGTAATAAGCTCCCCGAGCGACTGGGGTTTTCTTTTTTTGACATTGTTTGTAATTATTTGGACAGGATTTCTACGAGGCATCTCTTGAAATCTACTCCTTTAGATTTAATTTCCATAAGGGAAGTTATTATCAACCATTAGTCACATTTCTTATTTTATATCGAGGGGATATGAATCAATATTCGAGTTTCATGGACAAATTGAAAGAAGGCGAAAAGTTATGATCTGACACGATTTAAAGATAAACGAAATGGTATAACCCTAACAAAATACAAAACAAATCGAAACAAAGTCATTAATTTATACTATAGGGTTGCTGGTTAGAACTACCAGGTATACATCACACTATTCTAAGATTCGTCTATATTTTTTAGGGATAGCTACGGAATACCATTCCAGATCGAGACCGAATCAAGATTAAAGGGTGCTTTACTATCACCCCTCTCTATCACCGCCTTGCACCCCTCACTACCCCCTCTCGCCCCGGAAACACCCTTGGAGGATCTAGAGTGATGTTCATGAGTGATTAAATTATCGTTTTGACTGAGTGATTATTGGAAGGTGAAGTGTCTGTTTTAGGTTTTTATTTATCTCACATGCATTCCAATTTGAGGCTATAGAGTCATTAATGTAAACCGGTACGAGACCCCTTCCACCGTGTTTAACGCTTATATGTGTAGACGTACATCAAAGTATATAAACGAACGTACAAACAAACGAATAAACAAACAAAATGAAACGAAAAATAAATAAATAGACAGACAAAACCATAAACTACATGCTTGTTCATGCAGAGAAATAAGAAAAGAGAGAGGAAAAAATTGGGCATACTAGAAGAGATATGGAGGTAGGAAGGAAGGGAGGGATTGAAAGCAAGGGGGGAGAAAGGAGGGAGGGAGATAGATAGATAGAGAGAGAGAGAGAGAGAGAGAGAGAGAGAGAGAGAGAGAGAGAGAGAGGGGGGGGGGGGTGAGTTTGTAATGAGGAGGGTAAGACAGGCGGCAACGAGAGGAAACCAGACCGATTTCACCGCGTTTCTCGACAAATTGAAAGATATCCTTAACCATTACTAGTATGTACATTCATAATTCCCTACGTGATTTTTCGATTTGCTTTCCGCGTTTTGAGGAAAGCTTGCAAGGCTTTTAAAGTCATGTTATCTTGACACAGGAAAATGGGCCCCGACGCAAACTGGTCATGTTTCCTCCTTTTCCTCTCCCGTATAATAATAAATAATAAGGATATAAATTGCAGATGAACGTTGACGTGACATCATCAGAATAAAAACAATAAAAATGGTATACCAAAATACCAAAAATCAGAGATTAAGATGCATAGTAAGTACGGATAACCGACATCTTTAATATAACAGATGGTTCTGTTTGTAGTTTGTATTTGCACATGGTACAAAATGTTGGAATTGATATTGACTGAAAACAAACAGACACAACATATCAAAGAGCATCTGGGAATCACAGCGATTTGGTATAGACAGGATGGAAGGCAAAACCGCCCTTTTTGAGCTGTGTAACCAGGATATATTTTCTTTTTTCAGGGGATGGGAGAGGGGGGGGGGGGGGGGGCACGCATCGCTGTAAGAGATAAAAGCCTATTACCATGTACTTTCTACCATGATCTACAAAACATCATTATACCTCAGTATCATCATTATGACCGCAATATCCAAACGTAAGTCAAAGGGACGAGTAAAAAAAAAAAAAAAAAAAAAAAAGTTTTTGATTTTAAACCGAATTTTAAGTTAAAGTATTTGCCAAATAATATTCGCGTCAAGTCTTGTGTAGTGCATGTTCAGCGTCCCCATAGTCTGATAGTAGTCCTGAAGCTAGTACTCCTACTAATTATAAAATCTTTTAAAGTGCGCCATGCCTACGTATATTCCTTCATGTTCATTACTCTTGTGCCAACTACAGGTTTACATGTAGATTTAAAAAAAAGTTTAAAAAAAATAGTATTATGTAATGATAATCTGTTTGAAGACAATAATAATCTGGTGAACCTCATACGTCACGGAACAGGAAATAACCCAATCATGCCGATAGGGGATTGTAATAAATTCAGATCAAACAAAGCAATTGACCTCACTGGTGATCTAAAAGTAGAGCTTTAAAAAAGCGGTCGAGTTAAAACTTCATTAGGCATCTGGTTCACTAAACTGGTGTACTAAACTGCATAATACTGTTTAGCTGTCAAAGGAATTAAAACAACGCTTCTCACCACGGTTCAATACATCATGAGAAGTAAGGAACCAAGGGGACAAAGAAGAAAAAGTACAATTTTAATGTGATCAATTTCATTTACTAGCAGGTGCCCATGTAAACAGTAATCTATTTGACAATTCGTTGTGATTTGATATGTTAACTGTTGCCTATACAAACAAAATTGTATGTCAAATATCGTGTTTTTTGTTTGTTTTTGTTTTAATTCGCAGGTGCCTATATAAACAGTACTCTTCAGCACTTCCAAATACAAGTGTCATTATTGTATTCCATAACGAAGCATGGAGCGCCCTCTTGCGGACAGTCCATAGTGTGATCAACCGAACGCCACGTCAATATCTATCGGAGATCATCCTGGTGGACGACGCTAGTATTCACGGTAAGGTGCAATGTACTATTAAAGAGAAGGTTGAGTTTTGGGAAGAGGTGACAAATAATTTGTGAGCGTTATCATTCTTGTTATGCAAGTGTGGAAGAACATTAGATTAGACATGTTCCCTGAAAAGCATGGCTCTTCAAATGCCTCCATATTCTAAATATGTCATGTAGCCTAACATTGTAAAACTCCGGGGTAGTATTTTTACACCACGTGTTCGTGTAGTACCATATACATCTTTATGTGTACAGTGTTTGTAACTATACCAAGACGTGGCCAAATTTTTTATCATTTTGATGATTCCAGAACCTTGCAATACACACAAATTCGTGTATGCTAGATGATCAACCTTTTCTGGTCGATTCCACACCGTTTCTTTCACGATGCAATCGCATGACCAGAACTCTACTTCATCTTTAAAGATCCCCTCGAGAAAATTAAAGATGGAAAATGAAATAAAGATATTGAGTGTTGAATGAAAGAGCTTCGTTGTTCAAAACAAAACCATACGATTGTTTGGAATATACCAAAAATATAAAAGATGATGAAATTAGTTTTTAGGTCAAAAGGAGAAAATGAAAAATTCATGATCAACATATTTCTGTTCAAAAATATATAAGCCAGCTTCACATAGGTATTTTGAGTATTTGAATGTGTCACCAATTCATCAGCATTTACCATGAGTTAACTGATTTATTTACAGCTCATCTTGGTCATCAGCTGGACTCGTATGTAGCCAAGTTACCCGTCCCCGTCCACGTAGAACGTATGGGAGTCAGATCCGGGCTGATACGAGCACGCATGCGCGGTGCTCTCGTAGCTCAAGGTCAAGTATTGACGTTCCTTGATTCCCATTGCGAGGCTTCTCATGGCTGGCTGGAACCTCTCTTAGCCAGGATAGCAGAAGACAGGTGATTATTAAAGATGGTGTTTAAGTCACAATAAGAAGTGAAAATGGAATCATTTGAAATATCACGACGAAATTGCATAGCAGAAGGCCTATTCGGAAATAAACATTATGGAAAACTATTAATCTGTATATTTTCGTGTCATACACTATGGTGTCATTGCAGTTGACCTAACAATTTTTTTTAAAATTCACTATCCCTGTCCATATTTTAGGAGCAACGTTGTAACGCCCGTTATTGACGTCATCAACGCACAAAACTTGGCTTACGAGGCTGACAACCAAACTCCAGCTATCGGCGTTTTTGATTGGTCACTTACATTCAGATGGCAGAGCATTCAAAGACGTGACCTTCCGCTGCTCAAACATGACCCCACGCACCCTATCCCTTCACCGACGATGGCGGGCGGGCTATTTGCTATAGATCGGAGTTACTTCATCGAAACTGGAATGTATGACTCGGGTTTTGAGATATGGGGAGCTGAAAACCTGGAGATTTCATTCAAGGTAAGCATGAAGTAAAACACGATCTGTTCCATGAATAATAATAATAATAATAATCAATTACATTTATATAGCGCTTAATACAAAGTTTCTAAGCGCTTAACAAAAATAAAATTAAAGTAATGTTAACCTACAAATTACAACAATATAATACATGATACATAATTATAATAACAAATTCCTAATAACAATCATACAATAATAATAGTAAATATTTACATAACGCTTTATAGTTTAACAAACAAAATATGATTACATTACATTACATGTTGAACAGAGAAGTCTTAAGTTTACTCTTAAATGTTTCTAACGTTGGGGACTCGCGTATTTCATGGGGAAGATTGTTCCAAAGTTGGGGGGCACAGAATGTTAAAGGTTGTTTAGAATTATCTTTGTTCAAGATGGCTATATGATCGATGTATATACATCAAGGAGATGGGGTTGTGCCATGCAATATGATTTAGGGAATTTTGTCTAATAGGCCGTAGTTTAATCTCTGAATAACCAGAAATGGTCATTCTACGGAAAAAGTATCATGTACAGAGTAATGAAAAAGATCGAACTCGATTTTTCGATGCCCCCAAAAAGAATTATTGTTTCATTTTGTCACATCGTTATCTCATCACGGAACTTAAATTTTACAGTTTGATATATAATGGTCGATACTTTAAATTAGCTAACTTCCAATATAGCCTATAATTTGTTGATTACCATTAAGATATATTTTTAACGCATTTTAATTGTTTTCAGACGTGGATGTGCGGTGGCCGAATTGAAATCCTTCCATGCTCACACGTCGGGCATATCTTCCGCAAGCATGCTCCATACTCCAACACCCTTACCGACTTCATCAGTTATAACAACAAACGACTGGCAGAAGTCTGGCTAGACGGGTACAAAGAGTTCTTCTACTTCATGTATCCCAGTGCGATCAAGGTGAATGCTGGGAACTATACGGACCGCGTCGAACTGAGAGATAGACTTGGATGCCGGTCGTTTCAATGGTATCTTGAGAATGTGTTCCCGGAAGGAGGATGGCCAGGCAGGAATAAATTATATGGCGAGGTATGAGTGCAATTTTAATGTACACTTTGCTTCCTGACATGATTTTTCTTTTTTGATAACAAATTACGCTCACCATTAAAACTGTTTTTTTTAATAATAAAGCGACATTGACCAGAGTTGTTGCATAACTACCTAAGAAACACATAAGAGATGAAGCTACCCATTTCGGAAAAAGAACTCACATATACGATTAAAGTTACGAATAAAATCATTGCATTGCCTTTTTTGTACCATTATCATTTTACCACTTAGAGAAGAGGAAGTTATTAAATGCCTCATTGCTAACATTATGCAAAGGCCGGACACTTTCGCAAACTAATGGGAAAAGGGTCTCCTTTCAAATAAAATAATGCAAAATCAAAAGAAAGAGTGGACAGCCTGAATCTGATGATTTTAACCAATGACTTTGCAAGTAACCTACCTTTTATTAATCAAAAACCGAGCCAGGTTTCCAGGAATTAACATCTTTGATTTGCTATTACCATGATTACAGGTACGACATACAGCCACCAACTGGTGCCTTGACACAGGAGGTAGGACCACGCCTATCACTGAACCAATGGTGGCACATCGTTGTGACAACAACGTTAATCAGGTATTGTTATAATTTGTATAAATATCGTATTTTATTAGCACTGTAAATACATGTACAGTTCAGTTTTTGACTGCTACTCGGGTTCTGATAAACCTTGATAGGATTGAACTGAACTGAATTGTATGACTGAAAATTACCTTAAGAAAAACAAAACATGAAAGGTTGCATAAGGGTTGGAGCAGCGGTATTGATAAATATCTTGGAGGAGGTGGGCTTTCGTAAACTTCATTTTAGGTAGCGGACATTGAATCAAGTTCAACACTATTTTCAGAGGTTGATATTAATGAGAAATGTACCTACCTAATCGAGAGGTGGCGCTATTAAGAAAGCTCTCTGACACCAAATTTTACTTCAATGTTGAATAGTCTATATCGATTTTGAGCAATTAAATACCCTTTTTTCATTCGTCTCTTCAACTATATCAATCGCGATTTCATTTCATGTCCGTGCCATTTGTAACTCAAAAACGAGGAAAAGAGTTAACGATAATTATGCGTTTGATATCTGGAAGAGAAATGTCACTCGTCTTACATTATCAACCTAATCATAATTCAAATGATGTACGATTCGACATTTTCATTAGCCAACATTTGCACATTTTACGGTTGTCAGATATAGCGTTTCAAGCAGATTTTAGGCTAGGTTTAAGGTTGGGGTTAGGACTAGGTATAGTATCTGGTCAAGGATTGAAGTGCAGAATGTTGTAAATGTAAAAATCAATTGACCCCCGGATAAACTGTCACTGGAACCTCTGTACTACATTGAGATCATGGAATAAAAATAAAGTATTACTAACATGAACAAATGATTGCTTTCGCTCCAACCATGTTACTCAGATCTGGATGTACACCGAAGAGCAAGAGATCAAACATAGTTCACTCTGTCTGGATTATGACGTCACAACTATGACCTTGACCTTGATGGGGTGTCATCAAATGGGCGGCAACCAGCTATGGGACTATGTCAGTGAGGTAAATTCGAATATTCATTTTATGATAATAATAATAATATTCCGCTTTCATATATCGCCCATTACACCGATACAACGATGTGTCTAAGCGCTTTACAGAATACCCCGTTCATCGGATTCAGGCTTACCCGCACACAATGTATGCACATTCTCCACTCCCTGTGGATCATTCCGACCAGTGCGACAGTGGCCATTTTACAAGCGTACACTTGCTCATTCAACCACACTCACGTTCGCATCCTCCCAAGGAGTTTGGTATGATTAACAGGATCGAAAAGAATTCCCCAAAATCGACATAAAGCAACTTCGGTAACCTTTAGCGTCGTCACATTTTTGAAATGTGAAACATGACAATGACAAATTAACTAGCCCAGAAATTATTTTTAACTTAAATTGATTTATTTATCCCTAATTTATCAGAACATGATGATAAACATCGGAGATCAGTACAGTAAGAATTTAATCAAATTATAAGGCGAGAAACTTGAAAAGCAAGGCTTGTGTTGATAAACGCCCATTACAAATAAAGACAAGTTACTATAAGAATATTATGATATGAATGCTACTTTCTTGCATCTGAGGAAGGAAACGACGATTTCTGAAGGTATACACTTTGTATTGGAATTGCCTCTGACTGAAATCAACTGAGTTGATATTTTGATCAAACCTTTGTGATCATGTTATATGCCTGAAAAACACAAATCAAAAGGCGCATATATACTATTCTATGTTAATAGTTTGACAAACATTTTATAATCACAGAAGAATACTATTTAAATGTCAACTCCCTTGAGCAAAATAAAAATTATCTTCAAATTTCATCTTTAACAATTTCGTTTCACAATGTCATCATGTTACGTATATACTCCGAAATGAAATCAACCAGTAATAAAATTTGCTTCACTGAATTTATTTTTCCTCCTTGCCACCTCTCAACAGACGGGTGAAATCAAGAACAGAGCTCGAGATTGCTTGGATCTGGAGGTCGATGATGACGACGACTCTTTCACGCTCACTGTACAGGAATGCGATGGACGAACTAGTCAACGATCATGGCAGCTTAATATGAAAGAATGGGACTTCAAGAAACACTCACGTTGAACACCATGATGTAATTTTAGGGTTAGATATATTCGGTGAGGAGGGTGGCGCAGGGCTTTATTTTCTTTACAATATCGATTGGATGGAGCCATCAATGGAAAAGAACACTTTAATAGTCTGTTCAAAACCAGAAGGACGTTAACGCCCTTATGGCTCCAACCGATTTGACCCTCAACATTCTACTTGAAAATGCACAACAAGGGGGTAATTTTGTGTCCAGCTTGAATATCTTTTGCTCAGTTTGTAGTAAAAGGTGGTCGGGAATGTGCAAAACGTTACTAAGGTTGGACAGATATATAAACGCACTCGTGTTGTACAATTAACCCGGTGTTTTAGGGATTGGCTAAAATAATATAAACCTTAGTACTTTAATCAAAATAAATTGATAAAACATTACATGTGTCATTCATGCTTGTATATAATGTTATCATTTATTTATGTCCATTTTGACCAAAAGTGACATTCCTTATCATATGTATATGTATAATGAAATTGAAATGTAATCATCTAAATACCATTTTATTGAATTCATGGGCTGAGACATGATGCTGAAGTACGAAACCATGTTTTCAGGAATAAAAAGTTATCATGGCGAGAAAAAGGTGGTATTTGTTTTTGAGTGTACAAGACGCACGAGACCGAAAATTGTCTGAAAGCCCAAGGAACCGATAGAACGCTTGTCGGTTTTGTGGGCTATCGGTCTTGTGGGTCGATCATCGGTTTATTGTGCCTTGAATAAGATTTGTCATCTTAACGTTTTACTTCTACTAGAAAATTGAACTTTTTAATTATTCTGGAAAAAAGAAACCCAACTAAATAGCAAAAATCATAATGCATAATACATGATAAATGTAAAAAGCAATGATGTATATGAAGCAAACATCATATATAGACAGAGACTGTTGTATTGCAAATGCCAAAATGCATTGAGAATGATTACATTTGAAAACATCATCACGAATGATCACCGTGTGATTTTAATGGAATTCGAAAGGTGGAAAGTGTGAAAAACGACTTCGCAGCTACAGTTACTTTATGTGGCAAAAGGTTGTTCGATGTACGTGAATGTATTGAAGAGCCTTTGATTCAGATAAAATAAATGATGTTGTTTTTAAAATGTGGACGATCTTGGTTGTATGTGTATTCAAAGTATTTTTTGAATAAAAGTAAATAAAACGAAAAAATACAAAAGCTAAAATGTTAGTGAGCCTCTATGTTTGATGTGTCTCGCAGTTAAATATTACATACAGGTTTGGGGCTTAATATACAATTTTAGTTTCATTGTATGGCGCAATCAGTTCAGTAAAAATTGTTTTCCGACCGTTTGTCGAAAAGTGCATTTATCATTGTCTCTGTATAATATAAAATGAATTGGCAAATTTTATTACAAAAGTCAGGCAAACGGTGGCGTCGAATTACCGGGTACAATATTATTGTCATTTATGGTAGCAAAATCTTCTGCTTCTTCTATTTCTTGTTCTTGTTCTTGTTCTCGTTCTTCTTGTTCTTCTTCCTATTCCTCTTCCTCTTCTTCTTCTTCCTCTTCTTCTTCTTCTTCTTCTTCTTCTTCTTCTTCTTCTTCTTCTTCTTCTTCTTCTCCTTCTTCTTCTTCTTCCTCTTCTTCTTCTGCTTCGTATGCTTCTCCGGCTTCTTCTTCTCCTTCTTCTTTCCCTTCTTCTCCTCTCCTCTCCTGTCTTCTCTCTCCCTTTCTGAAAAACGATTGCATGCAGGATGAATCTGATTTAAAAACAAACAAACAGACAAACAAACAATAAAGAGAGAGAGAGGAAGAGAGAGAGAGAGAGAGAAAGAGAGAAAGAGAGAGCAAAATATAACACTACAGTCTACTGGGGAAAATGAGTATGGTAAAACCGGTCACTCAAAGATTTTTACTTTTTTGAAGCACTTCATGATCATTTTGAAGCGCAATTTGTTTTGGGCTTCAATATTACACCATATCACAGACACTGATAACACGTAGGGTCATGCATATCAGATATATAAAAGTGGAAACATTGTTAAACAGGCCCAACAAATGAAAAGGTTAAATTCCAACGGCATTTGAAAGATGATACTAATATAGGGGGGGGGGGGGGGGCTTGAAAATATCTTTAAGTGGGAAAATAACGACTATTTGTTGTCGAATCGACTTAAGAGCTATAGAGCCAGTAAGTAATAGTCTGATGTTCAGACCATTGTACCGAATGGTCGTACGTTTTATGTTGCGCAAAGATTCAATCAGTTTAATTTTTGGCCATTACAAGAAGTGGGTTATTGATGTAGACAAATGCTCATGTACCCTTTACAGCTCTTTTAATGTATGTTATTACCAAAGACATGACATATCTATAATTCCTGCAAAGTTCTACAAAATTTGATGTTGTTTGCAAAAGGGACATATTATCTTTAAAGCACAACCCTTGAAATAAGTTAATTTGTCTGAAAGCAAGAAAATAGGAGAACCAGAATGACGGAGGTCTGTAATATATCCGACCAATAATGAGGAAGGTCATAATAGTTTGAAATATGAGATCACTATATTCATGCAAATCTCGCATTGGTAATTTGGTCAGTGGGTTATGACGGATGCATGGACTCCTCTCCCGTTTGTCATGTACACACATATAATTAACTTCTGATTTTTTTTTTCCTAAGCATTTCTTGTCTTCAGGCACTACTCAACGTATATTATGGAGAGCGTATCATTACAGGTTCTCTAAAATGAAAAGGCCCTCCTGAGTTATCAACTTTGAAAACAAATGACATTGTAGTCATTTGGGGGGGGGGGGGGGAATAAATGGGAAAGTTGTTAAATTAGTTTGCTATTAAGGTTGAATTTACCTTTGAGGACTATGTACATGTATACATTATACAAATATATTCAATTCAATTCAGAACTTTATTTCAGACTCAGCTGCACAAGACAGAGGTCCATAAAACATATGTTACATAGGAATATAGGGAAAAGAGCGGAGTACATGATGAGTATATAATAACCTCAAATCTTACAAAGAGTATAACAACTAAACTATGCTACGTATATAAACAATCTAAACTGCAACATATAATCTGTATCTGTAAGATTGATAAAAGTACATGTATAACAATCTATTGAAGTTGTAACTTTTAACAATCTCGGCTCAACTCACCCGAACAATATACTAATATTATAACAAACAACAAGAACAGACTATAGAGTGGTGAAGTGTGACATCATCAAAAATCTATTTTTTGGAATTTCTCAATTTTTTCTTCATATTCCGAAAGAAAATAAAAAATACTGTCCAACTGTCGAAAACCAATTGAATATGTTAAGTATTGGCTGAGATATGACCATCTGAATGAATATATGTCCTATGGGAACTCAGTGTTATATGCTCTGGCTCCTAACCATTAGGAGCCAGAGCATATAACACTGAGTTCATATGGGGAGTATATTTATTCAGATGGTCCTGAAAAGCGCTATATAAGAACGAGCTATTATTATTATTATTAAAATTAAGAAATTCTACAAATATATTTTTATGACGTCACAGCTTCGGTACTCTATACTGCAACCATGAGAAACAAGATAGTCCTTGGTAACAGTGTCAGCAGGGTATAAGGCCAACATTTCTAGAGGCCCGATGTGTACCTAAGGCAACTATACGAGGGGTTCACTAACACCTTTATGATACCTTTCTCAGAGACATCCACTCTCTGGACAGACTGTCACCGAGGCCCATAGTTTTTAACCAGTACCTCGAAAAGAAGGCAGAGATAACCATATTTACATTAAAGTAAACACTAGTAACATCCTGCACCGTACTATGTACACAATGAAAACAATCATTATATTAAAACCACAATTCACTGCCTTGTGATGTTCTGGTTGAAACTATGGGCAAGAGATGACTATTTGCTGAGGGGCGCAGCCCCGAAGTAAATGGTACTATTAGAGTCACCGAGGGCCCGAGGCCCATAGTCTTAACCAGTACCTCGAAAAGAAGGCAGGGTGTATTTGTTTTATATCCCGCATCATGCATTCCCTCCCCGCCAACAAAAATAATTCTAAAAAATGATCATACCAAATTTTCAACTCCCAAATGGTACTTCTACTCCCAAATAGTACTTTTACAGAGTAACCTTAAAAAAGTTGAAATATTTCTGGTCACGTGTAGAGCTCTCAACCAATCAATTTTTGATGCAGGATATAAATATATATATATAAAAAGAAATAATTATGAATATCAACATTGCCTGCGAAATCCGGTCATTATAATCAGCATCCTGATCGTAATCATTTTACCAAGGCCTCTCGTTGAGTATCATGCCAGCATAAAATTAATGATATTGAGTCTCACTGAACTAGAAAGTATATTTAGACGTTTTTAATGAATCGAATCGTAATTTTGTATAATATCAGTTTCAGCATTTCGTGGAATAACTTGACTTAATGGATAATGGAGATTCAATAAAAAGATAGATAGCCATGCCATCAATTCGATTAAGAATATTAAAACTTAGCTAAAAACAAATAAAAACAACAAAGAAACAAACAAAAAGGTACTTAGTCACTGCATATCTACCGACGACTCTAGAAATACAACTCTAGGAACAATATGTTGTATAATCTTCGGTAATTTAATAGCGTATGCTGTTATGATACACAACAATTACACCAAATTTAATATTTCCGACCCAATGACATTCATCGGCTATCGCTAACATTCATTCACTAGTTATCTGTGAAGGAAATAACAGTTATATTGATAAGAAATACCGTGCTAAAGTAATTTTCAACAAACTACGTGTGGTGACTCTTCAACTTTAAGATAATACCTTGTATTTTGGGGAAACTCATTTGTACTAAAATAGGTGTAGGGTAGAGTAACGTGTGTATCGAGAGAGAAGGAAGAGGGAAAATAGAGAAGAGAAGAGATGGAGGGAGAGAGAGAGAGAGAGAGCAAGGAAAGAAAACCAGAGAAAGTAAAAGAGACAAAAGAGAAGAATAAAGAAAAATACAGAAATCTAAAACTTATTATTATTATTATTATTATTATTTTTTTTTTCTTTCTAATAATTGTTTAATTTAAAGATTATTTGTACTTGCAATAACTGGTTCAACATTTATTATCATCCATCTATTATCATTTTTTTATTTATGTATATAACTTTAGGTATGAACAATAATTTTAACTTTATCTTTTATCATTTTTATTATACATTTATATGATCATTCCTGTTTTTATGCACATTTTATGTACACATTGCATTATTGGTCCCTGGACTACTGCATTGTACATTGTATATGTTGATATTAATAAACCGAAATTGAATTGAATTGAAAAAAAAAGAATAGCAGATAGGGAAACATTCCAATTTCCAGCGATCTTGACGCTTCAAACACACCTTCACACGACGCACATTCACCCTTCACACCTTCGCGTTTTAAGTAAGATTACAGTCGCCCTGCGGAATCATTTTAGAATGTCATTATTGGCATAGTATTCCATTATCTCTCTATCGGGAGTGTTTTACGCATGCCTTTTGGGGTAGCCTAATGGTCTGCAGCAAACGTCACTTTATTAATTAGCATCATGGTTATGCTAGAAAGAGTATTCAACGTTGACCAGGGGGTGTTTCACAAAGATCCCAAGTCAAACTTAACTCTAAGTTGGACTTAAATATTATGGAGAGCCATTTGTAGCCTTAAAATAAAATATATTCAAAAGCGAAAATTCAAGCATTTTAGACTTTTTATAAATTTCACACCAAGAACATGAAGTCTCCTTGATAATAGAAAATATGAATGATATGAATCTACATTTTATGCCTTTTAAAATGACTTTTACAAACTATTTTCATAGATGATAACGGCTTTCAATAAATTCTGAGTCCAACTAAGAAATAAGTTTAACTTAGGATCTTTTGTGAAACACCCCCCAGAAATCCTATTTTTGTTATGGAAAGGAGAAGATTTATGCCATTGTAAATGCATATTAGTTAACACTCACGGGAGAGAGGCGATACATTTAGAAGTAATCAGGAAATTCAATGTGGGAGTAAGACGTGAAGGTAATGATAATGCCTGTACTTATAACTAGACACAACACTATTTTGCAATGTTCCCCTTGCATTCACCTTCAACGAGATCACTCTCACATGGTGCGTCAAAGACCGCGCCATTCACTGACGCATTCCTACGTCAGCAAATAAGCAAATGATGCCACGTGTCTCGTTTGTAACGGGCATGATGGTAATACCGGCCCACATTTATACATTCGACTCTATTCGGCAGGTTTCAAGCGCTATGGACAGACACCATTCAAGTATCAGGGTGATCTGTTTCTGGTTTGATTCCAAAAACAGATATATTATCGCTTCCTTTTCGCGTCAACACATTCTTGACGGCAAGTCTGAATTTGGCATTGCTGATGGTATAGATAATAGGGTTAGCGCATGAATTGTAGAACCCCATGACTGTAAAGATACGATCCAGAGGACTATAGAGGAACCTAGGACCGATGATCTGTGTGCTGTAAAGGAGGAATGATATTTGACTAGGAGACCAACATACAATGAAAGTGAGGACTACCATGAGAAACATTTTGATGACTCTCCATTTAGCATCGTGTGACTTCACGGCATGGGTTGTCCTTTCTTTGGAGCCGTTCATGAACTTGAAGCGCTTCGCTTGGCGATGCAAGGTGATGATGATCATTGCTTGGGTGATAACCATGACGAATAGAGGACAGATGAAATGTAATGTGACCTGTGACAATCCACCAAGAAGCCGATAAGACGGTGGGTCTGTTGGCACCTGACAGGTGTGAGTAGCATGGTGTACCTTGATGAAGAAATAGTAGTAGGTGGCGTGGTTGATGACGCAGGCCGTCCAAATGAGAATGATATAGACTGTCGTACGACGCATTGAGAAGATACGTCGAAATGTGAATGGATAAATAACCGCCACATATCTCTCTACAGAAATGGCGGTTAAAATGAAGATGGATGCATTGACGAAAAACCACATGAAGATCTGCCCGTTGACTACTCGACAGTAGACCTCACCAAGCCATGTCGATGGGACGTACTTGATCCTAGGGACAGGAATGATGGCTATAGAAGATAACAGATCAGCCACAGCAAGGGACCCGATCAGGATATCGGTGGAGTTTTTAGAGACTCGACGGTTGAAAACGACGATGATGACGATGGCATTCCCGACGATGCCGATGATGGCGGAATTCAGTCGCAGAATCGAAGTCCACGGCCACGACATTGGGTACCAGGACCACGTTCCACTTGACCTAAAGACACTGTCACCATCATCGGTGTTTGTATCTGTCTCGAGTGTCGTCATGTCGTAGTCATAGGCTGTAAAATCCTCCTTTTCTGTGTCTTCTGTGCTATAGTAGAAAACTTCAGATATGTTATTTGAAGGCAGTACTTGCGTTGGGCTAAAAAGCGGGTGGGGTGTAGTTGTACTGGTGGTCTGATCATCACCGTGTGAAAATATGAAGAATGGAAAGGTTGAACACAAGAGCATCCATCCATGGACAATCATCGGGATGAACATTCGCCATGTCTGGAATAGATTGGATAAAGAGTTTACCATTTATCATCATAGTTTTGAAAAAAATAACATCAACCTTCAAGAAGATATTATAAGATTAATGAAAACCTTTCTCTACACATTCTAATCATTTCATTGGTATCTGAATTGCCATCTTAAGGGTCTAAGAATTCACCTGGACAACTGTGCATCGTTGCTCTTCCCCAAAACCATTTTCCATGTAAAATAGTTCTTCCTTTGCAATTCTAATAAGATGGATACTCGCATAGCATATATTGGTCTCTATTAAAAAAGAACCGACAACTTAATTTTGTCCACCATGTATATCCATTCATGACAAGTATATTGACACTTACATATAGAGAGGAAATTAAGATTGCCACACTTGTCAAGTCAGATGATCTCAGCGAAATTGTAACATATTTAATCAATACTCCTTTGAGTTTAGCCAATATGCCCTTGTATATTGTCTAATATCAGTGACAAAAGTGGTTTCGTGGTTTCGCGAGTAATATATTTTCACATAATAAAATTCTTCAGTAATATTATTGAACAATACAGAATTGAGACTTTCTGATCATTTTAGCTTTTTTCAAAGACCACGAGTCAAATGTATTTTTTTTCTCATGATCATACTCTAGATTTAGTAGGAATTTTCCTTTAAGTATACATAGTGGTTTTTTTCTTTTTCTCAGATGCAATATTAACGATGAACGGTAAATATAAACATTATTATGAGCATGAACAGAAAATATTTTATCTGCGGATATTCATTTTCTCTGTTGACTCCAATTGAAATACTAAAATGATACAAGACATAACGTAATGATCATGTACTATAACAGATTAAAAAATAAAAAACAAGGAGGAAACCTTACCATAGACCATGACCCGGCTCGACAAGATTCTGAGAGGCAATATAGCCAACTTTTTTTTTACAAGGCCTTTTGAATCGAGTACCTTAAAGAATTGCTGTTGATCAAAATCTCACTACAGAGCAAGAACAGCGCCGTCAACGACTATCCTCGTATATTTATTGTTTAGTAGGGCTTACAATAAATAGCTTAATAGTTTTGGAAAAAATGATGGTAATCATCGATTTTGCATTGTAGAAAACGAATAAGAATTTATTGTGACTATTTCATATCAATATATGCTCGGCTGTCAGGAGAAAAGAGAAAACCAAGGATTGATGACGGAGAGAACCATAATCACATTAATCTGACAGTTTCATGATAAACGTGGGAAGGTTTGACAGCAGGACATCATGAATAGTGAAGTCATGAATAGTGAAGTCCATTATCGTCTGTTCAAGGGCTGAAAGGTGGATAAGTTTGTCTTAAAGCCAATGGGTTCATACCGTTCTGGCTTTCGGCATACATAATATGAGAAAGAAGTAAGACTATTATAGACGTTACTGTTCACCCTTCCAACGTTCACATCATAAATACCATCGCACCATTGGAACCAAGGCAACCATCACATCTAAAACTTTCACTCTGACAAATAAAAATTGGTTAACATTTTTGATTTTTGAATAATTTTTGTAAAGGCAGATTTATTTCTGCATTTCTTAACAAAATCAAAATTAAATAGACAAAGAACTTTTTCTTTAATAAAATTAAAATAATAAAGCAATAAAATTAGAACAGTTATTCAATCATAACATATAAATGTGACAATAATTTTAATAATAATATTATTATAGAATTAAATGAATGCAGAAGACACATCATAAGCAGGGATGGACAAAAGTCTGGTCACTGGAGCCATTTTTCTTGACCTGTTCGACGTTATACCACATCACCTGATTTGTCAGAAGATGTTATTGTATGGTATTTTTGGGAGTTGAACTCAAGTGATTCGAGTCATATCTATCCAAAAGTCAACAATGTGTTTTCTTGCAAGGGATGAAGAGTAGTGTTCTAACTGTGAAATCAGGAATTCCACAAGGTTCAATACTTGGGCCATTAATTTTTTGCCTCTATGTGAATGATATTTGTAATCTGCAACTCCATTCTAAGACAAAGATTACCTTATATGCAGATGGCACGTCAGTTTTTCATCATGGAAAGGATTATGAAGTTTGTGAATGCAATCTCCAAACAGACTTTTCCAGTATCGTGAAATGGTTACAATATAATGGAATGTTTTTAAATGCAAATGAAACCACAACAATACATTTTGGTTCTAAAAGAAAAATTCAAAATAATAACATTTGTATTCATTACAGTGATAATGTACTCGACTCAGTCGAAAGTATGACATATCTAGTTGTAACACTAGACAAATGTCTAACATGGTCGCTACATGTAAGAAAAGTTGTTAAGAAAGTATCGAGTACGATTGCCTGCATTAGACGGGTACGCCATTATATTTCCCGTAAAATTTTTGATTACGTTATACTATTCTCTTATCCTACAGCATTTAAACTACTGTAATTCAGTATGGGGAAATACTTCAAAACAAACTCTAACAAAGTTGGAAAAATTACAAAATCGATATGCACGATTAGTACTTCGTGCTGAATATTTACACCCCAAAATATTTTAAAGGTATAGTTGAGTATTGGTAATTTCCAAAGTGCCCCTCCAAAACAAATTTGGTTTATTTCAGTACCATATGAAAGATCATCGAAAAAAACATGGGAGATGATAATAATTCCAAATCAAATGCTCTAATTGTTGTGCAATTTGCTTTCAAAACATTATATAAAAGTGTTTGACGTCCGGACATCACTTTTGACTTTCGACGGTTTATTTTTTGAATTTACGTGTTTAGCTCCCTCTATGTCATTTAACAACCAGCGTATTTACAACGAGTGTTTGAGTTCGTTGGTACGTACAGTACTACAGGTAGCTAGCAGGCGGGTATCCGACCGCGCGCTAGTAATACAGTACAGCTGATCATTTCCAATACGCTGCTTTCCATAGTAGTATAACACACACAGCTCATATCAGATTATCACCGGCGCCGATCGAACGCTAGACAGCTACAGACAAGCTTTGATTGAAATACGATAACGAGATCGAGATTGGAAAAGGAGCTCGAGGTCACGGACGATGGCCGACTCGGACTCAGCTAGTGCTAAGCCTAAGGACAAGGCTAAGGCTACGCTAAATCGGAATAAGACTAAGTAAGACGGTAAGAGGAAGGAGAGAAACAAGCAATGGCAGCTCGACCATCCGGCCCAGAGGAGGCGCGGGAGTGGCTGTGAACAAGGCCAGGGTACGGCGGAGAAATTTCGCGAGCTGCAGGCGGCCTTCTCGTTGCCGAGTCTAGAGGATGCAATAGACATGCCAGCTCACTGAGAGGTAAGTTGAAATGATATACGCCCCACTGCATTGGGTAGGCCTACCGTTTTAATTTGATCTAGTCTAGAGACTAGATGCATGGAATCGGCAAATTTAAGAAATTACGTTTTGTTATCTCTTGCCTTGGATTTTTAATTCAGATTTCATGAATCATATGATATTGATACTCTAGCCTAGGTCTACAGTAGACCGAAAGCTTCAGTCTCTATATCGTCGGTTGTTCCACTGAGACTACGTCTGGCTCCACTAGACCTCCGGATGAATTTGGTTCAAATGAAAATATTGGAAGCATATGCGATCCTACAATATTCAGTGAACGTTGTCGCGTTGAAATCGAGTCTAAAGTGATGAAATTGTAAAATATAATAATCTCTTTATGGGGTATACTATAACTCTCTCTCAAGGTCAATATATTAATTCAGCTATACAACAAGCTACAATTGACCGATTGGCTATGAGTATTACCTTTTTGAAATTATATATCACAACTACATATTCCGGGATTTTTATGGTAGCAGCTACCGTTGTACGACCGTAGGCGCTATTTTAAATTTATCAAAATTTACCGGGAGCACCGGTAAATTTTTATATTCAATTTTTTTCGAAAGCAGAAGTGTTTTAGGAGCTAAATTTTCTAGTGCTTATAATACTTCCACAGGGGCATCCAAATATATCAAAATTGTAAAGAATCACTATCCACCCAATTTTGAAAATTTCCCAAAACTTTGTAATAGACCCTACCTTTAATGTCCCTCGTTACAACTGCAGTTTTCTTTGTAATGATGACGTGCAGGGCTAGTCAACCGGGTAAACATCCTGCTCTTTTTAAAAGTCGACAAGGTTATACTATAGCTTGCTTGAGATGTGACTGTCTCATCTATATTTATCTCTACCAAAGAGTGTCTCAACTTCACATACATGTACATGACAGAGAACCAATGCATCAGTTATTAGTCATGCAAATTCCAAATCTGGCTAGCTGTGATAATTATTAGAGAATGCCATCTTCAAAATAATTTCTTTTGGTGATTTAAAATCTGAATGTTTTTTACTTTGTGAATGACTTTCGTTTCTTCACTTTTTACAGATATGAAGAACAGACAACACAATCCATCCCCAGCGAAGAAATTCCAAGCAGCAGTAGGGGAATTAGCAGGTGAATAGTACAAGTCACCTTTGACCGCAAATTCATGGAGAACTTGGCCTACTCTGCTGATTTGCTCGCTTCAGGTAGGATTCTGTATACATGTACGAAAGGCTCTGTAAATTGAGAGGAATTTAATGAGAATGCGTTCATTACGTACATGTTTGCAAGATTGAGCTCTTTTTCGGTTATGACCTATAAAATTGGGACATATCAGCAGGTCAAGATAATGCATCTTATTTGCTCATGTGTATGACATGGGATTTTCAATATTGATTTTGTGGTATGAAAATAATGAAATGCCCTATCATTTATATCAGTTTTTATTTTGTTTTCATAATTCCTTAGGCACACCAG